CCTCCTGCTGCTTTTTCTCCTGCTGGCGCTGCTGCTCCTCCTCCTCCTCCTCCTCCTCCTCCTCCTCCTCCTCCAAGGTCCGCTTGCTGCGCGGGGGGCCGATCCACGGCCTCTCCGCGTGCTGGGCCCTCCACTTCCTCCTCCTCAGCCTTTCTTTCCTCCAAAACGAAGAGCGGAGCAACAAAGCGAACGGGGGGTGGCGAGTCTGCGCCGCCTGCGCTGTCGAGCGCGCGCGCTCGGCGGGAGCGGTCGCCCTCATCCCTCCTGTTTTCCTTCGCCCAACCCCCGACGGTTGAGCCCTCTTGGGGGGCGCCCCATGCCTCGACCGCACGCCCCCCTCGAAAAAAAACAGGGTGAAACCGAAGCGCAGCATGGGGCCCTCTGCGCTGAATGGTGGCCTGTTGTTGCTGTTGTCTGTGTGCTGTTGATGTTGTTGTTGTTGCTGTTGTTGTTGTTGTTGTTGCTGCTGCTGTTGTTGTTGTTGTTGTTGGTGTTGTTGTTGGTGTTGTTGTGTTGTTGTGTGTTGTTGTTGTTGCTGTTGTCTGTGTGCTGTTGATGTTGTTGTTGTTGCTGTTGTTGTTGTTGTTGTTGCTGCTGCTGTTGTTGTTGTTGTTGTTGGTGTTGTTGTTGGTGTTGTTGTGTTGTTGTGTGTTGTTGTCGTGTTTGGTTGCGAAGGGTTCACCGAAGGCCGAAAACCGGGTCTTCGGGGGTCCACGGGACCTTTTCGAGGAAGGTGGTATAAAAAGTGTCACCTCCGTGGAGGCTTTTGGCCACTGTGGCCATGCGGCGGTTCATCTCCTCGTCCGCATACGCCCAATAATGCATAGGGTTCCCGTGAACCTCGGCGCGGCGCACCAGATCCCACGCGCTGTGGAATTTAAAAACGCGGTGGCCGCCATGCTGGCGCCATTCGAAGAGAAAGCGTCTCATGCTGCGCTGAAGCGCTGAAAGGCAGGCCGCAGGCATTGCGCGGCGTGGGTCGCGCCGCATGGCGGCGTGCACCTCGTTCAAGTGCTTGCACGCCCTATGCAAGGCGGCGCCTTGAGTACCTAAAAAACCAGGATACTCGGCACATAAAAGCTCCATGAGCGGGAGCAGGTGGCGAGTCTGGGCCGCCTTTGCTTTCAAGCGCGGGTGCTCGGCTGAAGGCGAAAGCTGCTGCCACTTCAGCTTTTTGATTACCGTAAGTTGCTTGCGGTTATGCATGCGGCGCAGTTTATAAAACGATTTCATGCGCCTGCGAAGCGCGCACAGATTCTCCAACCTGCGCTGCTCGAGCGTGGACGTCCTGAGCCTGCTCGCATCGCTCCGACAGCGCGCTCCCCGTGGACGAGATCTATCTGGAAGATGAAGTGGAGGAGGGTCGATGCAGGAGACGGGGGATGAGATCGGAGTAGGAGGGGGGAGGACACGGCTGCCATTGCAATGCTAGCGGGCCCAGTACTTTCGTGGATCCAGCGAAATTGTGTTCGCACAGGGTGTGCATTACTGCGCCGCTCACGAACTGGGAAACACCCAAGTCTAAAATATGCATCGCGTCGAGATGCACGTGATCGACAGAAAAACCAGGAATTGAAAAAAGAGGTGTGATCACATTGATCTGTGAGTTGCTGCTGGTGTCGAAAAAATCCAACCAAGCAGGAAGCTCAATGTCAACGAAGGCGTGTATATCACGCACGCTCTCGTTCTCAATGAGGCGGTGTCCCTTTTTCAGCATGAGCTGAGGGAAATCTTCCTTGAGCACCAAGCCACGCCTGGTGCTATCGAGTTCCATTTTGCGGCTGAGCCGCCGCAAGAGAGGTCGTGAATTGACCATGCGGCGGGTCATTAACCGCCCAACTTCTGCACGGTATGTGGCAGCGGTGCGCTGCTGCCAGCGGCAGTCCGCAACAGTGCGGTCAAAGTTATAAAGGTCACCGCGTGATGACATGTAGCAGAAGCAGGGGTGTTGCAAGTTCTGCCAATTCTTAAAGCCCAAGCTGGTAACCAGCTCGAGCAAATCGGCTCGATATTCACACAGTGCTCCGCACATGCCTTCTGCGAGCTCAAAGCCACGATGCGTCGATCGCATCTCGTCAGTTAAAGGGTCACCGCTGTGATCCACAGAGGGCCAGACGCCCTTGGCGAGGGTCGTAAACGACCACGCTAAAATGCGGTGAATGGTGCCAATAGTGCACCACCCTTGGCAACCACAAGCACACATGTCTGATTTTTTGATCGTGCAAATCAAATAGCGCACACTTGGAATCAGGTGGCAAGAGTAATAATAACATATGAACGAATCTGTTTTAGAAAATGGCACTCCATCCGAGTAGAGCGCGAGAGGGCATGACAGGTGACCCCGTTCTAAAGTGACAGGGTGCTGGTGATATGTGAGCGGGAGCATCTCACGGTCGTGCACACGCACGTCTAACTTCTCGTTGAAACGAAGATACAACAGAGCAAAATGTTCATGCGGAAGCATGATCGGAAAATCTACGAGTCTCCTGCTTTGCGAATCAGCGTTCCAGAACGGAACCTTCGTAGTGAAAACGCGTTTGCGGATTTCAAGCATTCCAGATGTTTTTCGAAGGTGCTCTGCGTAGTGGGTCCCTCCAGGCGGTTTCGCCAGATCTTCAACGCCAATGCCGCCTGGGACGCGCGCCAGAATGGCTTCGCGGAATCACACTGCCCCCCCTCCCCATTTTCTAGAGGGCGCGGGGGTAGGTAAGGGGCCCCTGGAGGGAAAAGAGGGGAGGAGGAGAAGGAGGAGAGGGGGGGGAAGAGATAGATGAGGAGGAGGAGCATGTCCTCCTCCTCATTATCCTCCTCCCCGTCCTCCTCCTCCTCCTCCTTCTCCTCTTTCTCTTCCTCCTCCTCCTCCTCCTCCTCCTCCTCCTCCTCCTCCCCCTCCTCCTACTCCTCCCTCCCCCCCTTCCCTCGAGCAAATAACAGCGAGGGGGCCGTTCAACTGGGGGCGGGGGGAACAGCTATTAATTCCGCGAGTTTATTCTGGCCCTCCCTGCCCACCAGCAACAGTAGCGTGATAGCTAATCACGCAAACGTCAGTGGCAGACAGCTTGCCCTCCTTATACTGACTCAGCAGATGGTGCCGCAATCCAGATCCATCCGGCTCAGCAGCGCCAGCGGCGCCTCCAAGGCCGCGCCCAGTCGGCCTGCCTCCAGCGTCGGGCGCCTCCAGGGCGCCTCCAGGGCCGCGCCCTCCAGCCAGCGCGAGGCCTCCAGGGCCGCGCCCTCCAGTCAGCGCGCCTCCAGGGCCACGCCCTCCAGCGCCTCCAGGGCCGCGCGCAGGTCCAGGCCTGCCTCCAGCGTGGGACGCCTCCAGGCCCGCCTCTTGCAGCAACAAGTGCGCCGCCGCAAGTCGCGACATCGATCGATGTCAAAGGAAACTCGTTGGAGCAAAACTTGCTTGAGCTAATGTCTCCTGACACCCGCTTTGCGCCCCTGGGTGCATAACTAAGCGCTCTCGCAATCGCAACTGGCGAGTTGGCTTTTCAAGGGTTCTGGAATGCGCGGCGCGATTATCCTCGCACCCCGGGGGCGCGATGCACGACGTGAAGGTTATACCTTCGCACTTTCGACGCGCCACTTCGGATAGGGACACCTCTCAGGACAAGCACGCGAACGCCACATATGTGGCAGAATACCTTCGCGCCTGGAACCCGCGCTCTGAGACCACCTAGGAGAACAACATATCTTCAGACCAGACCTCGAAGCGGGCAGCTCGAATATCTTCGCGCCCAGGGAGGCCCCAATCAACGGTGTATTCAAATGCGTCCTCCGATCTGTTATGTTAAACCTGAACGCGGCTTGCTCCGTGCCGCCTCGAGCGGTCGTGAAATCGATTGCCAAGCGATCAAACCAGCAGACGAAGGGGGAGGGGGTGGAGCAGGGAGAGGAGGGGGAGGAGGAGGAGGAAGAGGAGGAGGAGGAGGAGGATAACGAGGATGGACGAGGAGGAGGAGGAAGAGGAGGATGAAGATGAGGAGGAGTAGGAGGATGAGGGAGGAAGATGAGGAAGGACGATGAGGAGGAGGAGGGGAGGAGGAGGACCGAGGGGGAGGAGGCAGAGTCGGAGGAGGAGGACGAGGAGGAGGAGGAGGAGGAGGAGGAGGAGGAGCGCGGGCACATTCAGGTAGCGTGCCGACCCTTTCGTTTTTTTTACCGCAGAGAACGGAACATACATCTCTCATCGGCCAACAGATCCCAGCACTCGGACGTATTTCCCAATCAGCCTCTTGACCACAACACCCTTTCACCCAAAGATCAGACTGTGGCGCCCCACGCCACCTGCGGTGGCAACTGTACCGCCAGCTGCCACCGCGCCAAAATCTATCGTTTTTTTTTCGCAAGCTCATCGTGGCGAATATCGTCCACGATGTCGAGATCTCACGGGCTGACGATCTCGATGTCGTTCTCGGTCTCAAGCGTGCCTACTGGCCAGTCGTCATGCCGACGTTCGCCATCGAAACCGACTGCTGCACGGGGTAGATGAGGTCGTAGAAGCGCTTCGCCTCGAGGTTCCGAAATCGTTCGATGGAACAACATTGCTCTTCGAACGACTTGTGGGCCACGAGGTGAGCAATGAGTGGGTCCTCCTCCTCCTCCTCCTTCTCATCCTCTCTCATCCGCCTCCCTCCTCCTCCCTCGCCCTCCTCCTCCCTCCTCCCTCCTCCCTCCTCCCTCCTCCCTCCGCCTGGTTCCTCCTCCTCCTCCTCCTCCTCCTCCTCCTCATCGTCCTCATCCCCCTCCTTCTCTTCCTCATGCTCTCCATATTCCTCCTGGCGGCTGATGCGCTGCCTCAGCGATGGCCTCCACGCACTGCGCGTAGCCCATGCCAGCGTCGGACTGCCTGAAGGATGGACCAAATCGACGATCCTAGTGCGTGGGTTCTGGATGAGGGGAGGGAGGATCGATCACGTATCGATCATCCCTCCCACCATCGAGACCCACTCCCTCGGATCGTGGGTTCGATCGATCATTGATGGCCTGCGCTGCACGTGAAGCGTGAGCGAGTCCACCGTGTTCTTCATCGAATCGGTCATCTCCTGGAGCTGCTCGGCCCACGGCGACAACCAGGGCATCTCCGCCACCTGGGCTGCCGTCACTCATCCCCTCTTCTCCTCTCCTCACCCTCCTCCCCTCATCCTCCTCCTCCTCCTCCTTCTCCTCGTCTCCCCCCCTCCACATCATCATCCTCATCCCCATCCTCATCCTAATGCCCCCCCCTCCTCATCATCGTCCTCCCTCCACGTCGCTTCCCATACCCCTCATCCTCATCATCATCCTGATCCTCATCCTTATCCTCCTCTCCTCATCCCCCCCCCTCGGTCTCCTCATCCTCGTCATTATTCTCCTTCCCATCGGGATCATTCTCGGATCATCGATCCCCTGGCCAAGTTCGCAGGAGCTTGGCAAGAGATCGATGACGCCAGATCGGGGGGACTCGTTCGAAGCTCATCCCACGTCCCAGCCAGAGAGGAGCGCGTACAAGTGCGAAGCCACACCGAGGTTGGTCGAAGCGCTCTCGCCGATGGCGATCTCCGCGGACCCGCTCGGCGCGCCGCGCGCGGCCGTGTCCTGGGGACTGCATTGATCCTCCTCCTCCCACTCCTCTTCCTCCCCCTCCTCTTCCTCCATCATCTCCTCTTCCTCCTCCTCCTCCGTTCCCTCCCCCCCTCTTCCTCGCCGTCCCCATCATCCTCGATGCACCTCATCCTCATCCTCTCCATTCTCATCCTCATCCTCATCCTCATCCTCCTGCTCATCCCCCCCCTCTTTCTCATCCTCATCTTCCTCATCCTCATCCGCATTCGCATTCTCATCCGATCCTCCGGCTCACTGTCGCTGGTGTAGCTGTAGCTGCTGTAGTTGTCGTCCACACCCTTACGATCACAACCGCATCCACCTTTCCATGACCGCTCCCTCCTCCGAGGAAGCCTCAAGCTTGGAGAGGGAGGGTGGCTATGGAAAGGTGGATGTTGCGATGTTGCAGAAGTGACCGAGCCTGGCGACCCGTACGCTCCAGCATGGCGCGCGCCTGCTCGATCGACTGCTGACCATGCAAGCGCGTCTCGACCCGCTGCTCGTGCATGTGCGTATCCGTCTCTGTGCGCTCGACGCGCTTGTAGGTCTCCTCGCCGTGTTGGCTGTCGACCTCGAGGGTCGCGCGAGCAACTCGAAAATGAGGAATGGTTGAGGAGGAGGTGGAGGACCTGGGAGGAGTCGATCGAAGATACTCGACCACTCCCAGTCCTCAATTCTCCTCGACCTCCAATTCGAGGCACCTCATTTTCTCCAGGTGACCCGCACGAAGCCCCTCACCGCGCGGCACGACCTGATCGTGTTCTCCGTGCGCTGCAGCGCCCTGGATGAGTGCATATATTTGCCTCTTCATCCTCCTCGTCCTCCTCATCCTCCTCATCCTCCTCATCCTCTTCCTCCTCCTCCTCCTCCTCCTCCTCATCCTCATCATCCTCCTCCTGCTCCTCCTCCTCCTCATCATCATTCTTCCTCCTGCCTTCCTCCTCCTCCTCATCCTTCTCCTCATCCTCCTCCTTCTCCTCCTCCTCCTCCTCCTCGGTCCTCCTCCTCCTCCTCCTCCTCCTCCTCCTCCTCCTCCTCCTCCTCCTCCTCCCCCCGTCCTTTATTCCTCCCTTCCCTCCTTCCGCCCTTCCTTCCTTCCTTCCTTCCTTCATTCCTCCTCGTCCTCTTCGTCCTCATCGTCTTCATCGTCCTCATCCTTCGTCCCCTCGGTCCTGATGGAGACCTCACTCGTGGGGTTCTGGAAGTCGTACTCGAAGAGCCGCAGCAGCCCGTCCCTGGTGTACCAGTGCGCGTCGGTGCTCCGCGACTGGACGAAAGAGGCCGCCTCCCTCTTCTCCGTCTCCACAAAGTCGAAATTGCCTGTGGCTGTCGGGTTCCCTCCCTCATTCCTTCCGTTCCTCCTCTCATCCTTCCTTCATCCTCTTCCCCCTCCTCCCCCTTCCTCCTCTCCCCCTTCCTCCTCCCAGCAGCCCCCCCTCTCCTTCCTCTTCTCCCTCTTCCTCCTCCTCCTTCCCCTTATCCCCCTCCCTCCCCTCTCTCGTTTCCGCCTCCCCCCCTCTCCTTCCTCCTCTCCCTCTTCCTCCTCCTCCTTCCTCATCTCCCTCCTCCCCTGCCCCCCTGGCCAGCCTGTCTCTTGCCAGCGGCGCAGCCAGTGCTTCTTCTTGTCGTTCGAGAGGCGCTTGAACTCCTTGGCGAGCTCCTTGTTCGTCTTCCCCGCGTGGTAGCTGGGGGAGGGTGGGGTCCAGCTCGAATGTGATGTTGGGTGGGCAGGGGATCTGGGGGAACCGGGGCGCGCCGCGCGGAAAAAAAAAAAAACAAAAAACAAAAAAAAATCCACGCGCCTGCATCCCTAGAGCCCCCCCCACCCAACAAACACATTCTAGCCGAGGCAGTTCCACCCTCGAGGCCGCAAGCGCTGCATCGCGTTCTCGTGCTCGGAGTCCAGCTTCCTCTTGCGCTTCTCGGTAGAGCTCCTCGCCGCCGCCGCCGCCTCGAAACGGGCGGCCGCGATATAGGGAGAGGGGAGAGGGCCAGGGGGGGACGGGGGGCGTCGTTGCCCCCTCCTCTGGCCCCGCAGGTCTGGGACCCGTTCGCTATCGACCCCGAGAGCCTTCGCCTTCGCGCTAGCATTCTTCTTCGGAGCCATGGCTCCGCGCGGTACCTCGCTCGGTGCGATCGATCGAAGCGTCGCGGTGGGGGGGCCCGTACCCCTGTGGAGATTTAGAAGGACATGCGCGAGGACGTGCAGGGTTTGTTGTTGGGCAGAGGGGGGAGCAGGGGCAGGCGCGGGCTCGCGGAGCCCGCGCCAAGCAGGATCCCTGGACATGGGCGGTGGGCGGAGTGCGTGTTGGGGCGGGAAGGGGTCTTTACGTGTGTCTGGGGGGTCGGGCGAGTTGCGCGCCGCGTCCACGTGGGAGAGCGGGGCTCGGTGGTGGCGTCGGGGTGGCGGCGATACGGGGTCGGGGGGTAGTGACGTGGGGGGTCGATGTGTGCGGCTGCGTTTTTTTGGGGGTTGACTTAGTACAATCAGGAGCGGCGTTTGGAAACATGAAAAACCATGAAAAACCATGAAAAAACCATGAAAAACCATGAAAACATGAAAACACATGAAAAACCATGAAAAACCATGAAACTCCATGAAATACCATGATAAGAACACAATGAAAAACCATGAAATTCAATGAAAATCCATGAATTTCCATGAAACGTGAAAAACCATGAAAAACCATGAAAAAACCATGAAAAAACATGAACCCATGAAAACCATGAAAAACCATGAAAAACCATGAAAAAACCATGAAAAAAACCATGAAAACATGAAAACACATGAAAAACCATGAAAAACCATGAAACTCCATGAAATACCATGATAAGAACACCATGAAAAACCATGAAATTCCATGAAAATCCATGAATTTCCATGAAACGTGAAAAACCATGAAAAACCATGAAAAACCATGAAAAAACCATGAAAAAACATGAAGCCATGAAAAACCATGAAAAACCATGAAAAAACCATGAAAAACCATGAAACATGAACTTCCATGAAAATCCATGAAATTCCATGAAAAACCATGAAAACCATGAAAGCACATGACATGCGTTTCCATGATATAACATGAAAAACCATGAAAAACCATGAAAAACCATGGAAATTCCATGAAAAACCATGAAACATGAAAAACCATGAAAAACCATGAAAAAACCATGAAAAACCATGAAACCAACGAAACGCTGCGCGCGCATCCGATGAGCGGCCTCCCACCACCATCCCAGGTCCACTCCTCCACTGCGCAGTCCGATTTCTCCCGTCGGGTAGTGTCGAGTTGATGTAGATCGATGTGAGCGCAGCGCACGCTGGATCCACACCCACTCAGCCACCCAAGACCGCGCGCGGCGAATCAAGAGGGGCCGATATACGGTCGCCCCGTCCACTTCTCCACTGCGCAGTCCGTCAGTCTCGTCGGGTAGTGTCGAGTTGATGTAGGTCCAGCGACATGTCCCTTCCTATATGGCCCTGCCACCATGCCCTCCACGCTCACGCGGCGCACCAATTGGCCCACTTCTCCTCTGCGCAGTCCGCGGCTCGTCGAGTAGTGTCGAGTTGAAGAAGGCCCCAGCGGTTGAAAGCGCAATATTGGCGCGGAGCCCTCACACGACCCTCCTCCTTTCTCCTCACTGGCCCTCTTCCTCGTCATCATAGGTCCACTTCTCCGCTGCGAGTCCGCCAGCTCGTCGAGGTAGTGTCGCGTTGATGTAGATCAAGGTGCCTGTGCGCGGGAGGGGGGAGGGGGGGCGGTCGAGTCCTCCTCTTCTCATGGGTAAGTCTCCTCCAGCCTCGGTCGTGATTTCTGATAGTTATTTTCGCGCACACACGAAAGAGATATCTCAAGAGCATGCGGGTGGCGCGTGTGGGGTGTATGGCGTGCGTGCGTGTGTGACGACTTTGCGAGGATTTCAGTGCGCAGCTATTCAACGTTTCGGGCGTTGGTGCAGGGTGGCATGGTGAGGTTGACGTTGGCATGGTGGACGGGTGGGGGGGGCAGTGGTTTGGGTCGAGGGTCGGTTGGCTATGTGTGGTGTGGTTGAGGGTAGGTTGGCTTTGAGGGTAGGCTGGCTTAAGTGGCAGGTTGGATCGTTGTTGTGTGGTCGGGGCGTGCGTGTGTGTGTGTGTGCGTGTGTACACGTATGCGTTTTCAGGGTTGCGGGTTTTGTGGGAGGTTCGAGATCGAGGGAGGGCGGGCATCGTTTAGTATAGATGCCAGGGCACCGCGCCCGCGCGAGACCGCGAGACGGTCCAGCGCCCCCTTGGATATCTCGATATCCAGCGCTCGAGCTCGAAAAGGTCGCGCCGCGCCGCCTCCTCCTCCTCCTCCTCCTCCTCCTCCTCCTCCTCCTCCTCCTCTTCAGTGGCTATCCACGCCTCCTCCTTCTCCTACTCCTCCTCATCCTCCTCCTCCGTGGCCTGTGCCCCTCCTCCCTATATACACCTCATCGTTCTCATTCTCATCATCCTCCTTTCCCTCTTCGCGTCTTTCCTTCTCTTCCTCGGGATCCCGATCATTCATTCTCCTCCCGATCTGCCTCCTCCTCCTCCTCCTCCTTCTCCGCCTCCATCGTCTGTCCTGATCCTCTCATCCTTCTCCTCCTGATCCCTACCTGGAACTGGTTCGTCCTGCTCCTCCTCCTCATCCCGCCTCCTACATCTTCTCGTCGTCCTGCTCATCCTGATCGGTTCCCTCATCGCGTCTTCCCTTCCTCGGGATACCGTTCCTTACTCCTCCGCCTGATCTGCCTCCTCTTCCTTCTCCGCATCCCTCGCCAGTCCTGATCCTATCCTCCTTCTCCTCCTGATCCCTACCCTCCTGGAACCAGTTCGTCCTGCTCATCCTCCTCATCCTCCCCCTCGCGCCCTCCTCCTCCTCCTCCTCCTCCTCCTCCTCCTCCTCCTCCTCATGCATCTTCTCGTCGTCCTCCTCCTCCTTCTCCCCCTCTTCCTCCTCCTCC